CACCCAGGTTCTGTCGCGCCGCCAGGAATCTCGCGGGCTCCTTGACGTTGTCGGCCAGCAGGAAGGCGCCCTCCTCCAGCACATCGAGCAGCATGGTGGCCGTGTGCGCCTGCTCCGCCCCGCTCATGTCCCGCCACGACTCCAGAGCCTCGGGCCGCAGCAGATTGTCCACGGCCTCCACCACGGCCTGGGGACACCGGGGACAGAGGGGGACAGCTGGGATAAAACTGGGGACACCGGGGACACCGGGGACAGAGGGGACAGAGGGGACAGATGGGATAAAACTGGGGACAGCTGGGGACAGCTGGGAGACAACTGGGGACACAGCTGGGATAAAACTGGGGACACCGGGACACCGGGGACAGAGGGGACAGATGGGAGACAACTGGGAGACAACTGGGGACAACTGGGGACACAGCTGGGACACAGCTGGGATAAAACTGGGGACAGCTGGGGACAGCTGGGAGACAACTGGGGACACAGCTGGGATAAAACTGGGGACACCGGGGACACCGGGGACAGGTGGGACAGCTGGGGACAAAACTGGGACAGCTGGGAGACAACTGGGACAGCGGGACACAGCGGGGACAGCTGGGACACAACTGGGATAAAACTGGGGACAGCGGGGACACAGCTGGGGACAGTGGGGACACCAGGGACACAGCGGGGACAGCTGGGATAAAACTGTGACAAAACTGGGGACAGCTGGGACAGCTGGGGACAGAGGGGACGGGGGGACACTGGGGACACAGCTGAGACACAACTGGGACAGCGGAGACAGCTGGGGACACACCTGGGGACACACCTGGGGACAGCTGGGAAACAGCTGGGACAAAACTGGGGACAGAGGGGACAGCGGGAACACACCTGGGGACAGCTGGGATAAAACTGGGGACAGCGGGGACAGCTGGGGACACACCTGGACACACCTGGGACACACCCAAAGGGACACAGCCAGGGTCACACCCACCCAGACCACGCCCATGGGACACGCCCTGACCACACCCACACAAGCCCCTCCCATTGGTCGTGGCCACGCCCCCTCCAGGCCACGCCCCCTCACCTTGATGTAATCCTTGCAGGTTCGCTCCCGCTTGTGCATCTGGGGGGGGACAATAAAAGCGGGGAGGGGACACCCAGGTGAGGGGGGTGGGACCCCAAAACCTGCACCAGGGGCACCCCAAAATCCGGGACAGGAATCCCCAAAATCCGGGACAGGAATCCACAAAATCCGGAACAGGAATTCCCAAAATCCGGAACAGGAATCCCCAAAATCCGGGACAGGAATCCCCCAAAATCCGGAACAGGAATCCCCAAAATCCGGGACAGGAATCCCCCAAAATTTGGGGCACGACCCCCAGTTGAGGAACAGGAGGGGGGCCCGGCACAGCGACCCCAAAAATCTGGGCACGAGCGCCCCAAAATTGGGGACAGGGGGTGTTTGATGTCTAGGAAAGGAGCCCCCCAAAACTCAGGAGAGGACCCCAAAACTCAGAGCCTCAAAAACAGGCGCAGGTTCTGGAGGAGGGGGAACCCCAAAATTGGGGCACAGGCGCGAGGTCCCCCTCAGCCCTCGATAGAGTGACCCCCAAAATCCGAGTTTTGGGGTCTCCTTTGGGCTGAACCCCCATATCCTGATTTTGGGGTCCCCCTTTGGGCTCAACCCCAAATCCGGGTTTTGGAGTCCCCATTTGTCCTGAACCCCCAAATCCAAATTTTTGGGCTCCCCCTTTGGATTGAACCCCCAAACCCGCATTCCCCATTTCCTCCCGCACCCCCAAACCCGCGTTCTGGGATCCCCCCTTTGTCCTGAACCCCCAAATCTGTGTTTTAGGGTCTCCCTTTGTGCTGAACCCCCAAACCCGCGTTCCCCATTTTCTCATCAACCCCCAAACCCGTGTTTTAGGGTCTCCCATTGTCCTGAACCCCCAAACTCACGTTCCCTGAACCCCCAAACCCGTGATTTAGTGTCCCCCCTTTGTCCTGAACCCCCAAACCTGCATTCCCCATTTTCTCCCGAACCTCCAAACCCTCATTTCGGACCCTCCCTCGCATTGTCCTGAACCCCCAAATCCATGTTCCCCATTCTCCTGAACCCCCAAACCCGCGTTCCCCATTTTATCCTGAACCCCCAAACCCGTGTTTTGAGCTCCCTCTTTGTCCTGAACCCCCAAATCTGTGGTTTAGGGTCTCCCTTTGTGCTGAACCCCCAAACCCGTGTTCCCCATTTTATCCTGAACCCCTAAACTCGCATTTTAGGGTCCTGCACCCCCAAACCCGCATTCCCCATTTTGTCCAGCATCCCCAAACCCGTGTTCTGGGATCCCCCCTTTGTCCTGAACCCCCAAATCTGTGTTTTAGGGTCTCCCTTTGTGCTGAACCCCCAAACCCGTGCTCCAGACCCTCCCCACATTGTCCTGAGCCTCCAAACCCTCGTTCCCCAT